AGGAGACATCAAGAACAAAGCAACAGCAGAGGACTGAAAACTTAAGTTCGACTGAAAAGGTCTGTGGCAAGATCTCTAACAAGGTCAAATACCAGAAATCCTAATGCATAATCATATTGTCAGACTGGGTCTGGACCCAAGTTTCCAATCCATGCTTGAGGAAGAAACCCTGAACAAGCTTTCACCCATGAGTCACTCATTTCTCTTTCCTCATGAGCTGTAACAGCTAACTGACAGACAAAAAACCACTATTGCTCTACCACCTTTATTAATCCCTTCTCCCAAGATTTTACACATTCATATCTTACCCGACATTGTCCTTCTTGTGCAACTGAATTGTGGACTTCTTGTATAGCCTTAAGAGAAAGCAGATACAGGTTACTACATCCTTAAGTGCCGACAGCTGTCAGCAGTTTGTGTGGTTCATATACCTTATTATTTGCAAAATGCTTAGCTCTCTCTTCAGGAGACAAATCAGCTGTTTCATCAAGGAACTTCTTCAGGGCAGACCCCTCATCTGCACAAGATGATCAAAGATTTTATTCAGTATAGGTAAAGCATCAGTTACAGTCCCAACACAACTCAATGCTTGTTGCACTAACTACAAGTCATTGCATTCAGCCAGTAACTGTCTCCAGCATAAGCATATTATAACTACCACTTGAAGCAAGCCATTTATCCAGAAACTATTACTAACAATCTATACAAACAGCCAGAGGTCAGGTGTTTTAGTGTACTCTGAATGCTTGTCTTGGAAGTCACTTTCAAATGTGATTTAGCTTTTCTGAGTTCCCCACTGCACATTTGATGGAAGTGTACAGTCCTGTTCTGAAAAAATTCAAGAAAGGTGCCAGACATGTAAGGATCAACTAAAGGAATATGGGTATGTGAAACTGCCTTCAAATGAACACAGCACTTGCTCATGACAGGCTTACTTTGGTTTTCCAGAACATAAATCAGGAGTGCAGTACTAAGACATGTTGAGTTCTAGTCTTTCATGACAGATGTGCTGCATCATTGCTTCACTCACCAAGACTGTTATTTCACAGAATCCTTTCGAGAAGGGCAAAGCAAAACTACACTCATTTAGCCTTCCACAGGTGTTCTCCTTTGTACAAGGAGGAATCCCACACTGCACAAAGGCTTCAAGTTCTCTTGGAATAATGACAACTGTATTTGCAGATCTCTAGTCTTTGAACAACAAAATGATCTTTTTCATAGGAAGAAAACCATCCAAACTATTACCTCTGCAGGAATAGTCTATTTCCAGACCCTTATCCTGTATTACTTCTCTAGCAAAAAGAAAACACATTTAAGACTGATTTACAGGCTGCTATGAGTACATCTGTTTACACTGGACATAAGTGGCAAGAACTACTCTCTCTCTCTCTTCTGTTGTAATCGAGCCCAACACCAACAGCCATTTCTGAACACAGTACTTCCTAATTACTGACCTTTGGTCAGTCCTATTATGTTCCCTTTTCCTCCTGCATGGCTCACTAGGACAATACCTCTGCTGCTACCAGAAAGGAGTCAAAGCCCATCCCCTTCTGCAACTGAGGCAGTAAGCAGGAGCACATTCCCTTCTCCTAGAGCTTAGAGACCCACTTACCAACTGAGGCAGTACAGCATGCCCTAACCTGGCTTGTGTGTAAGCCCCAAGAGTCTCCCAACAGCTCATACCCATTCAGTCTTTGTCATAAAAAAATGGAAATTCAAGCACTTCAGAACATTCATACTCACCAAGCTTCACTTTGTCTTTGTTATTGGCAACTGCATGGATCAGACCAATTGTCCCACAGGAGTTACTGACTGTCTGCTTCAGGAAATACACCTTGGAACTGATTTCTTGGTCCTTTATTTTCTCAGTCTGTTGCTTCCTGAAGTTCTCATGCTGTAAACATCTAACTGTTAGGCATTGCATCACAGCCTTCTTGTTTTATTGTGCAAACAGCTAAGTTGTGCAGGAGAATCAACACCAGCACTACACAAAGATTTACCCAGAAAGTCATCTTTGTGGCACAGGTCCAATAAAGCATCCCTATGTCTAAATTGGATTCAGGCCAATGATTAATGGGCTACCTGCATGACTCAGTCCTATCTCAAGGCTGTTCTTAGCTTCACCATCTGTTGCTACACTGGAAATAGCTTGGGGTGGGAAATCGTATAATGGATAGGCTCTTTTGTATCCTCTCCCAATTGTTTTGTCTGATTGAACAAGACTACTCAGCATGTCTCTGCAATAGTTTGCATTTGTACCTTTAGGCTGCTTCCCTTCATGAGCCCCTCCCCACCAGAACAATGTGTAAACAACTAAAATCCATCACTGTTGAGAGGTTATAATCCTTCCTTTAAAAAAAACCATTCAATATACTGTATTTCACAGCCCATCTCCTCATTCAATTCCTTAGCACAGAGTGGGCTGAATATATTCACCACTCAGAAGAAATTCAGGCCTCTCCAGACACAATGATTCAGCACAGTAATGGCAATTGCTATTCCTCACACTCAAGATCGCCCATGTTTTTTCCTCGGCCTGATATCCAAAGCAAAATCTCACGAGAGTATTGGAATGGAGTAAGTAGCCTTGTTTTGTAGCTCTGATCCTTTTAGTCTGGGCTATTTGAGGCTGGGGCTAAGCACAGCATTAGCCACCAGCGCAAGCCCCATCGGCTCCCGAACATCTGATGCTTGGGGGATGACAGAGCCCTCCCGACAGCACTCAGTGCTCCCTGCAGCAGGTCCAGACCGCACAGCTGGGAGCAGCGATCACGCACCTGCTCGGTGAGCGGGAACAGCAGGAGCAGCGCGCAGGTTGGGCTGGGCACGGCGCGCAGCGCATCGTCCTCGAAGCCCAGCACGTCCACGAAGCGCCAGGCGGGACCCACCCCCAGGCGGGACAGCACCTGCACGGGGCACAGAGAGCGGTGT